TTTCCCGGGTGCCCCCCGCCCCCCCCCCCCCCCGCCGCACGACATGGGGCCCGCTTTCCACCTGGCCCGCGCAGCCGACCCGCGAGAGCCGCTGGAGAACTCGGCCAGCGAGTCTTCGGACACCGAGCTGACAGGGAAGCGCGGCTCCCGGCGCGGCGCGCACCGAGCCTACCCCGGAGCGGGGCACGGGGCACAGGGAGCCAGGAGCCAGGCCTGGAGCCCGCGCTGTGCAGCCAGGCTCCCTCTCCGCCCCCAGGTGCGTCGGGCGCTTTCTTTTTCCCGGTTCTCGACTTGACGGTGAACGCGGAAATTTACACACGCGCGCACACACGAAGGCATTTCCACTGGGTCTACACGCGTCAAGAGACTGGCAGATGCACCAGCGAGCTTCCAACTGGAGGGCTGGACTGACAGCCTCTCTTGACCTGGAGCAAGTAGCATCCGGGGAGGTGGGATGGAGGAGTCAGACTTGAGCTATTGGGCCGGGAGGAGCCGCTCAGCTGAAGGGAGAGGCGGAGATCGAGAAGGGCATGGGCAAGAGAAACTGCCCAGAGAGACTAGGAAGGAGGCAGGCACCCTGACACGCCGCGGGCCACAGATTGAGGGGGTGAGACCAAAGCGAAGGGGTAGGCGAAAAGAACAATTGGGGGTGAGGGGACAACATCAAGTAAAAGTCAGAAGTCAGCTTGGGTGAGCCGGGCACCGGGCGCGGCCGGACTCCCGGCAGCACCGGCCCGAACCATGATCCAGGCAATCCCGGCCCACGTGTGCGGCCGGAGCCTGGAGCCGCCAGGCCTCCCAGCCTGGGCGCTGACTCCGCTTGGGCACGTCTCTCTGCGCTGCCTTTTTGCCCGAGCTCGAGCTTTACCCCAGCGGAGAGCTGGGCCCGCGGGTGGGCGGCGCGGGCAGTGACCTGGCGAATCCTGGCCTTGGTTTGGCCGTGGGGATCTCCAAGAGGCTCCCCTCGAGCTGGCGATCCTAACTCGGCGTTGGCCCGCTCCGTGCTCCCCCGGTCGCGGGCGCCTCCGCTGCGTTCATTTCTTAATCCATCGCTAAGTGTTTCTCTCCACGTTTTTAATCTCTATTTGTTTCTGTTTTGCATCCTTAAGTGACTTTCCCTGAGAGGCCGTTTGCAAAGTTAAAAAACAATCAACGCTGGCTGTAGTTTTGTTTTCAAAAGTTGTAAGTGTGGTCTTTGATTGTTTTTCATTTTTAAAACCCAGAGAAGTATATAGTTGTGGGTTTTTAAACCAAATCTATGAGATTGAATCAACAATCTTAACTATTTTTCTTTTTTGAAAGCATTAATGTATTAGGTATATGTCTCTGGATTTTAAAATCTCTACATGCAACAATATTCTTCAATAGATTTTTAAAAACTCGATCCAAAATGGCGCATTTCTCCGGGATTTTCTCAAAATCCATTACAAGAGCGTTATTTTGGTCATTTAATTTCTCAAACTATAACACTGTGTTTCCCTGGAATTTAAAAATGATCTCTACCAAATGTTACTTGGAGGGGGTTAAAAATCTATCTGCAAGAGAACATTGATTTTTTTAATCCCAGAGAGATAAATGCGTCTGTCTGCCTGGAGTTTATACCGTACAGCTCTGTATTTAGTTAGGGGTGTGTTTGCACGGAGGTTTAAGGCTTCTTAATTTACATTACTCTGTGTTTCTACCTGCCTGTTTTTGAGAATTTGTGACTCTTCCTGTGTTTTTAGACAGAGCCGTGAGCTTTTCTGAACTTGTGTTTTGTTTTTAAATTCTTTTTCTGTATGTTTCAATGTTTCTATGACTGCATGTGTTTTGTGTAGTTTAAAAGAGAGGCTAAAGCCGGAGGTCACCTGGACAGAGTCGGTCTGTCTGGGCTGCAGTTGGAGGGGTTTTCTAGGCCCTGGGACTGGGAGCCTGGAAGTAAGGCCGAGAACCCGGCAGTGCAGTGTCTGTGCCGGGTTTGCACACAGCCCTGGGGAGAAACAGTGGAAGGGCTGCAGGCCACTACCTGGCTCCTGCCTCACTGACCAGAAAACTTCAGGCTGGGAAGACCTGATCCTAGCTCAAAAAGAGTAGAGATCTCAGATTTAGAACCCCAAGTACCCTCAGAAAAGCAAGCATTTGCCGATAACCTCAGCAGCAGGGCCCAAGCCTGGGCCGAGCTGTGGGAGCAGGCCCTGCCCAGCCAGGAATCCAGGCCGGCGGTTCTGGCTCCCGGGCCCTTTTCCGCGACACCCCAGACTAGAAGTGCCTATTGACGACCAACACCCGGCGGGCTCTTTCCCACCGGGACAATTCCCTGGGCCCCTGGCGGGAGGGTGGGCTACTTTAGCGCTGAGGGCGGGCGCTTCGGTAGAGCCGGGATAGGGCGCAACAGGGTGTAAGCCCTAGGTGACCCGCGCCCCGTCCTGCCTGCTGCAGAGAAGGAGCGCGGCGGGGAACCCAAGGGGCCTGAGGACAGTAGCACGGGCGGCGCGGGCTGCGGCGGCCCGGAGGACCCCGCCAAGAAGAAGAAGCAGCGGCGGCAACGCACGCACTTCACAAGCCAGCAAATGCAAGAGCTGGGAGGCACCTTCCCGAGGA